CACTTAAACTGGACATGAGCAAGGCATATGATCGTATTGAGTGGAATTTTCTTCAAGCTGTCTTAAGGAAGCTAGGTTTTGGAGTTAGGTGGATTGAGCTTATTATGCTCTGTGTGAAGACTGTGAAATATTCACTGATCATCAATGGAGAGCCGCAACTTCAGTTCCAGCCTTCGAGAGGTCTAAGGCAAGGGGATCCTCTGTCCCCTTACCTATTCATTATCTGCTCAGAAGTTCTTGGCAATTTACTGGATAAAGCAGAGGTGAAAGGGCTCATCTTAGGTTTTCCGTTTGCATGAGGAAACCTATTAGTTAATCACTTATTCTTCGCAGACGACAGCTTGATATTCTGCAAGGCAAATGTTTTGGAGTGGTGGAGGCTATCCCACTTATTGAACTCTTTTGAACAGGAGTCGGGGCAACGACTTAATATGGAAAAGACATCCATTTATTTCAGCAGTAACACAAGGCAAGAAATCAAGTCAGCCGTACTTTATGCAGCTAGAGTTAGAGAAGCCATATCTCTGGAGAAGTATCTGGGATTGCCGGCCTATGTAGGAAGGAATAAAATGACAGCGTTCAAGCCGGTACTTGACTCAATTGGTAGCAGAATGAATACTTGGACTGCGAGGTTTATTTCACAAGCTGGTAAAGAAGTTCTTATCAAGGCTATCATCCAAGCTATTCCAACATATTGTATGAGTATCTTCAGACTTCCACGATCCATCCTCCAAGCTATTAACAGGCAAGTCAATAATTATTGGTGGGGAAGTAGAAGAGATAAAACAAAGATGCAATGGCTCCCTTGGAACTTGTTAGGGACTTCCAAAAAGGTAGGAGGGCTCGGATTTAGAGACTTTGAACATTTTAATGCAGCACTATTGGCTAAGCAGGGATGGAGGCTCATCCAATATCCGGGATCACTGGCCGCTAAGGTGCTAAAGGCGAAATACTTCAGTAGAACAAACTTTTTAAACAGCAAGATTGGCAGCACTGCATCCTACATTTGGAGGAGCTTCTCTAATATAAAAGACGTGTTACGAGGGGGATCATTTTGGAAAATTGGAAACGGCGAATCAGTGGTCATCGGAAAGGACAAATGGATCCCCCATGACTCCAACCTTCAAATCCAATCTCCCCTACATGACAGGCTACTGAACAGAAGTGTAAGTGATCGCATTAATGTAGAATCTAAATCTTGGAACATGCAATTTATTTCTCAAGTCTTCAATGCTTCGGTAGCTAATACCATCAGCAAGATTCCCATTAGTCTATGTGGTAACCCGGATAAACTTATTTGGAGGGGAACGAAGGATGGGAAATTCACAGTCAAAAGTGCATATTATTTTTCCAGTCAGCTGAAACTTGACTCATTGGGACAATGTTCATATGCTAAAACTCAAAACGGAGTTTGGAGGAAAATATGGAGTCTTATGGCCTCTAATGCAAGTAAAATGCTTTTGTGGCGCGCAACCCATGACTCATTACCTACAAACCTGAACTTGAACAGAAGGCATATAAGGGAGTCCCCTCTCTGCCCGATTTGCTTTCAGAATGATGAGTCTGTGGTCCATGCACTGTGGCAATGTATTGCTGCTCAGGATGTTT